AGGTCACAGATAAAGTTGTCTGAGCTTTAATTCTTTATGTAGTTTTTATTTTGTATTTTACAATCTTAGTATATCTTTAATATATAGTATATTAATATATACTACTAAAATTATTAATAAAGATATGAGCAAGGCCTTACCTTAATACCAAAAAAAAAATATTGTTAAATTCAAAATTATTAATTATAAATTAATAAAGATACTAACTACTAAATTGCAAAAAGCATCTAAATTTTTTTATTCTTAATTCTATCAAGTATTTTAATAATTTTACAAATTTAAATACTATTAATAACAAATACTATTAATACTATTAGCATTCATATATATATCATTATTAAATATAATTTAAACTATAATTTAAATAATAGTTTATATATTAGCATATGTATATTTGAAACATACCAATAAGAATTTTTTTATTTAAGTTATTAAACAAATTACAGTATTTATAAGAAAAATTTAAAATAATTACTTTTTATAACTTAAAAATATCAAATTCAATTTTAATAATTGTGTTTAAACAATGTTTAATCCAAAACAATTAAAAATAGATTTGTTTTTTTTTAAATATAATTGTTAAACTATGGCTCAAAGATAAATTGATGATTATTACTTAAATACAATATATTATTCTACTTAATTACTGTAAAAATTGTTCTGTCAAGAAAATATCTACTCAAAGATTATAAATTGTTTAGTTATTCATATAATTTATTAGCTATTATAAGAGCAGATTTAGAACTACTGGGTCCCTCATAATTAAAGTATAACAAATATAATACAAAAACACAAGCAACTCAAAAAAATAGCATAAAAGATTTGATCTGAGAACCAAAAATTTTACTGTCACTAAAATCCTAGTTTTAAGATATATTATTATTAATATTTAATTTTTACTTAACTGACTTTTTACTAACAGAAATTATAGAACTTTTATACAAGAGAAATATAGTAGAGGCTTTGACACAACTCAACTAAATTAAGTATCAGAGAGGAGAAATCTATAAGCTACAATAAAATATTTACATGACTATAACATAAAGCTGTTATTCAATTATTTTCAATAAAATTTATCTCAAGCTAAACCTAATATAGCATTTTATTAAATACACTTTCACATGCAGAATCTTGTAACTTAGCTTTAGTTCAGAAGGATTTATTTTAGGATCTTGGTTCAGGTTATAATCATGTTTTCTATATGCCTACAGCTAGATCATGTTTTGCCTCTTACAATTCTCCCAGCCTTATTTTATATGTACTATACATAAAATTACAACAATGAAGTTTAATTAAAGTTCTTTGAGCTTTAAATATCTTTAAGAAATGACTTTGGTCAGAAGTACAAAGTTAAGAAGATAAGACCACCTAGGCCTTTTCTTTATTTCACAGTTATGTTTTTTTTTTGCTTTAACCTTTATCTTAGCTCTTTAATCTATAGGCACTTCAGCCTTTTTGTACAGGTCTTATTCCTTGCCAGACTAGGCTCTATTATTATAACTTATAAGTAGATTCACCTCACTTTCTGCTTCAAGACTTTAACTTCAATATCAGATTTTTTTAGTTCATTTCACAGTTATTACCAAAATGTAAAAGGTGGATTTGGGGCTACTAGGTTCTTTATGATTAAAGCATAACAAATGTAATGCAAAAATACAAGCAACTTAAAAGAATGACATGGAAAATTTGGTCTAAGAACCAAGAATTCTACTGCCACTAAGATCCTAGTTTTAAGGTATATCTTTATTAATATTCAATCTTTACTTAACTGTCTTTTTATCAACAAATATTACAGAACTTTTATACAAGAAAAATATAGTTAAAGTTTTGATACTTCCTAACTAAATTGAGTATTAGGAGGGAATCTACAAGCTACAATAAAATATTTACATAACTATAATATAAAGCTGTTATTTAATTGTTCTCAATAAGCTTCACTTTAAGCTAAACCCAATATAGTATTTTATTAAATACTCTTTTATATACAGAATCTTGCAGCTTAGTTTCAGTTCAGCAGGATTCATTTTGGAACCTTGGTTTGGGTCATGATTATGTTTCCCATATGCCTACAGCTAAGTTATAATTTGTCTCTTATACTATATAATAAAAATATCTACTTAAGTACAATTTTTATATTACTGTTATTAATAGATATTTACTGTAATCATTTTATAGAAAAGCTTAGTACTATCATGTACAATGGTTGACTTTAAAGAATTAGAATATAAAGGACTATTGTACATACTGTACATAAAAAAAATTTGGATACTATATAAAAGACATATTGTTAGGTATATAATATATGATGACACAGATTAGATTTGATAAAATATAACAAATGCAAATTATATCTTGCTTTTGCTTGTATCAGGAATGAAATTCAACAAAGTACATTGTTTTACAATGAATGAAGTATCTCTATATTATATATGATCCTAAAAGTTTATTTGTTCTTTAGAATTTAAACATGTTAACAAAAAACCCATAGGTCAATAGCATAGTGATTAGTGCTTTTGGGTTTCAATTGTAAGATTATGAGTTTAAGTTCAAAAAGTGACAACAACTCTGACAGGATCACAATTGGAAAAAAGATCTGCAGAGAATTTCTATTTAAAAACAAAAACAAGATTCATACAAAAAGAATGTAATTACTAGCATATTCACAAGGTTGGGGACAATCAGATAAGGCATAATCCATTAACAAATGATGTTAATATTAAGAGAACCTAATTTAAGAATACATAACAGTAAAATTAAAACTTTGAAATATATGAATGTTCTGATTAGTGGGTCATGTGAAGTTAGGAAACTATGAACTAAAAAAGATAGTAGGTCTTATACTGCAGGACCAGGGACCCAGGATGTCATATAGTGAACTTAATGAAGCATGAATTATCTTATGAGTTTAGTGATATGCAGGGATCACATGCCATCTGATGATCTTTGCAGAATGATAACTCTGGTCTTTAAGAGATGTAACAGATCCTAAAGATGTCTAAGAACCTTCAGGATAGTGAAGGGAGGTAAAATAAAAAAAAAAAAACACATTAACATTTTTTTTGATAGAAATCATGTGATATACATGATAGTCAAACCCAGTTAATTAGGAATAAAACAATTAGAAAGCAAGGCATGACTTTAAACCTTAAATGCACATAAACAAATAAGATATAGGTTTGTATAAGCTATATTAAAATAAGATTTTGCAAGCAAATATATATCACTTCCTCTTTTTAGCATTGTTCGGAATGCTACACAATGTCACAAGGATTGATCATCCAATCAGATCCGTAGCTCACATATGCCAATATACAACTCTAATTTAGTTTATAGGTGCAGACTTATTTACGTCATTAGTTACAAGTTAATTATGTCTTATTTTATAAACCGATTTTTTATATAGGACGTAACTGGATGATGAAATAAGTCTGCATCTATATTTTATATATGATTATTGTTAAGAGAATTAGAAATTCGGCAATGTGGCTTTTGCAGTATTAGATACTAGTACAATGCTTATGAATATTAAGTGATTAAACGAGGACCGGATCAGGCCACAATTTTTAGGATCGTTCGAGACCTGATTTTATATGTATATTTAAAAAGTAATTTGTTTTTTAAAGTGTTTTCAGTATTAGAAAGTTAAAATTTTAATGTTAATATAAAAAATTTTAGGTGTTCTCATATAGAGAACATTTCCCAGTACTTCATGTTCATAAAATTGTTAAGTGTTCTCCGAGAAACACTGAGATAGAGGCCTGCATTGGGCCCCGTGGCCCTGACTGACCCGCTTTGGCCCGGCCCGTTTGACGGGCCTGAAGCAAAATTTTATAAGTGCGGGCCGGGCCAAAAATTTATAATAAAATTTGCGGCTGGGCCGGGCCGAAGAAAAATTTGCATATATGCGGGTCGGGTCACAAAAATAGGTAAATTGCAGACCTCTACACCGAAAATATCGAATTTTAAACACTATTCAGACCTATTTTGAAACTAGTCCAAATAATCGTATGATATGAATTAAACGTCATTTTTGCATATCGAACAATCGTTTCGGCTGGAAATTTGTCATTTAAATAATTAGCTTGACTTTTGCCAAATAAGTTTTTTTTTGAATAATTGTATTTTTTTTCGATCCGAGATGATGCAAGAAATTGATACAGACAAGAAAGCTAAAGGTTCGCACTATAACGATACTAATAAAGATTCAACCAATAATGATACTAATAAAGATTCAATCAATAACGATGTTAATAAAGATTCAATCAACAACGATGCTAATAATGGTTTAAACTACAAAGACACTAATGGAAAAATTCATGATGAAGAAAAAAATATCGAAAAAAAATCGGAAGATAATGACATAATTGAAATGATATTAGCTGTAAGTCGTCGATCCTTATTTGTCAATTTAATATCTTTTTTGCGTCTTCTTAATATTAACAAATTAAAAAAAAAATTGTCAGGCCGTTAGTACAAATGATGATCCAACTTTGCCTTGTTTAACATTTCGATATTGGGTGTTAAGTACCGTAAGTTTTATGTGTATTATGATATGAATAGTGCCAGGGAAAATCAAATTTCGGGCTTTCAAGTTTATTGTTTATTATTAACTAGATTCAACCTTGAAAATAAACATGCAATACATAAAAGGAATTTAATTATGCATGTCGCTAGGCAGATTTGAGTCCGGCGAATAAAAAACTTGAAGGTTCAAAGTCTGATATTTTCTTAGAGTCCCTTATATAGTTTGCGAAATTTGTAGAACATCAAAAAGAAAAAAGAAATCACTAAGAGATTGTTAGATAAATTATTTTTGATTTCTTACTTCGATGTGACGATGTGAATATTTCATTTTCAGATATCGAAGTACTTTTAAGAAATCAGAAATCATTTATCAATCGAATTAATTCTTAGTACTTTTTTTTTTTTTTTTAGAATTTTGCAAACCGCAATAAATACAAATTATAGATCATGTGTCGTCCCATCTCATACAATAAGCTATATGCTTAGTTTCTTTTTACTTTATGAATTACGTATCGCAGTTTTTTACAACGTTGGGTTCCGTTATATCGGTATTCTACTACTTCCGTGCAAATAACTTGACCTATTCTATATTCTTCGTGATACTCGCATCTTACATTGCCGGTAAATGGTTGGAAAAAATATTGCCTAATAGGATATTTCGTATTAGAGATTGGGAATTTAATCTAAATCCAGGTTTATCACTTCAAATATTTATCATTATGTTTGGATTTTATTCATGTCTAAGTATCATGTGTAACTTTTATGCGTAAATTTTTCAGGCCCTTTTAACTATAAAGAACATGTGTGCATAACCGTAGCTGCTGCTGCGGGTGGTCTTAGCGCGTATGCTGTGGTAATATTCAACATTTTTTTTTTGTATATGAGACCTTTGCTAGGAAAATCAAGTCACGGGATATAGTAAATAGTATGCCCCATGACTTGATTTGCTCAATATTTTTTTAATGCTAATGTTTTTTTCATACTTATAGGATATTATCGCAATCCAAGATTTATATTATAATACTAAAGTAAATTTCTTAACTGGTTTCTTGTTACTGATTAGCACGCAAATGATTGGATATGGACTTGCCGGTTTTGTTCGAAAACGTATGTTTTATTTTCTGAAAATAATTATTTAAAATGTAATAATTACTCAAAACAATTGACATTTACACTTAAAAATTTCAATTAATTCTCTTAATGTCAATTACATGAATTTTTTAGAATTGGTTCGTCCAATTAACATGATATGGCCTCAAGCTCTCATATTTGCTAGCATGTACAACACACTACATGGCAATATTTCGGAAACAAATGATAGAATTCGTTTTTTTTATATCACATTTTTCGCTATGTTCGCTTGGCAATTTGTACCGGGATATATCTTTCCTTGGCTGATCAGTGCTGCCTTGTTATGCCTTATTGCTCCAAATAATAACGTGGCAAGGATATTAGGAAGTTCCCATAGTGGTGCTGGAATACTTAGTTTATCCTTTGATTGGAACGCTATTGGTCAATTTTCTCCCCTGTTTACACCATGGTAACCTTTCTCTATAATTCACGTTTGTGTGTACATTATTTAATTTTTTATACCAATTTAGGTGGGCTCAAGTGAATTTTTACATTGGCGTTGTTTTGGCAATATGGGTTATTGCTCCTTTATTGTACTTTAATAACGTCTTGTGAGTAATTCTTTGGTTGTTTACTTCTCTGATTTGTTGCCAATTAATTAATAAATTAGATTAATCTGTAAATTAATTTGCTGATTTTATTTAGTGATGCCCAGAAATTTCCCTTTTTATCGTCTCGTCCATTCGATAAGGATGGTAACATGTAAGTTTTGTTCTTTCAATTTATTAAATTAAATTAAGCTTATTAAACTAAATTTATATGAGTAACGATTTTATTTATGCAAATTTTTTTTTTATAGATATAATCAAAGAAGTGTCATTGATCCACAAACCGGTGCCCTCAATGTTACTGCATACGAAAATTATAGTCCTGTGTATATGTCCGCCGCATTTGCCGCTTCTTATGGCTATAATTTCTTGCAAATTCCCGCGACCATTTGTCATGTAATATTATTTCATGGAAAAGAAATTTGGAATCGATATAAAAAACCTCGTGAACAGGAAGAGAAAGATGACATTCACTGCAAATTGATGAGTGTCTATCCAGGTTAAATTAATAGTTTATTTAGTTTTGTTTTATTTAACTAGAAAAAAATAACCTGAAGATGTAATTTATATTATTAATTTTTATGTTGATAAAAGAGGTACCAAACTATTGGTATAGTACTATTTTCGTTATCATGTTAATAATTGCAATTATTCTTTGCTATACAACCGATGCAAATTTACCTTGGTGGGCTTTATTTCTGACTGTTGCTATGGGCATAATCATGGTACTTCCGATAGGTATAATCTTCATAATCAACTTATTCAATATATCTTATTTGAAATATTAACTCATTATTCTTACCTACTGATAGGAATCATTCAAGCTATCTCAAATTGGCAACTTGGTTTAAATGTTATAGCTGAATTGGTGTGCGGTTATCTTTTACCAGGAAATCCTATTGGGAACGCATATTTTAAAACTTATGGATTTGTGTCTTTGTTTCAATGTTTGTTATTTGTCCAAGATCTAAAATTAGGTATGTTCTCTCTTTTTTTTTTTTAAAAAAAAAAATAAAAAATTATTATCGAGGTTATCTAATTTTATTATTAAAATTTTCTTTTAAATATTAAAAGGTCATTATATGAAAATTCCTCCGAGAAGCATGTTCACATCACAAATATGGGGTACAT